AAACAGCCCTGATCAGTGTTATTGACAGGGTCGATAAAGCGCTGGAGGATAAAGAAATAGCTCTTTGTGCTTTTCTAGACATTGAGTGCGCCTTCGACAGTAGCCCTACATTACTGCTGGTTGGGGGCCTAACATCTAAAAATTTTGACCCCACAATCATTAGGGGGGTAAAGTCAAAGCTCTCAAACAGAAAGACAAAAACAGAGCTGTTTCAAACTTCGATTGAGGTTGCAACTACAAGAGGCTGTTCATGAGAAGGTGTTTTGTCACATATTTTTAGGATACTTGCAGATGATCAATTATTGTACGAGATGGCAAACCTTCGCAATGACACACTGAGTTATGCTGATGACCTTGTGATCATTGCAAGGGGCTTTTGCCAAAGTACTTTATCATTAAACATACAAAGAGCCTTAAACACCATAAACAACTAGTGCAGGGATAACACTTTATTAGTTAATGCTGATAAAACTGTTATAATACCCTTTACCAAAAAGAGACGGTTGGTCAAATTATTCACATCAAAACTTAATGGTAAAGAAGTACCATTCTCTACTTAAGTTATGTAGTTGGGCGTAACAATCGACCAAAAACTAACGTGGAACTCTCACCTTAGCAATGTATGTTAAAAGGCTAAAATTGCTTTTAGGAAGGGGAGGCGCATCGTCGGGAGTAACTGGAGCTTGCGTCCCAATTTGATCCTGTGGCTGTACAGCAGTATAGTGAGCCCAATTTTTACCTAGGTCTCCACTGTCTGGTGTAATAAGGCCAATCAAAATAGGACTGCGGACGGAATAAATAGTCTGCAAAATACTGCCTGCTTAATGGCAATTGGAGCGATGAGATCATCTCCTGGAGTGGCTTTTAATGCAATTCTAGGCCTAACGCCCCTTGATCTTTACTTAGACAAGGAGGCGAGGGCTAGTTTGTATAGGATTAACGCTCAGGGCGGTTCGAGCTTGCTTTTCTATAGATTGAGATCCATGCTCGACTCAATTAAGGAAACACCGGTCTTATGCTTGATCTCAGATATCATGCGTCTACTGTATACTTTTAATAAAAAGTATACAGTAGAACCACCCTCCAGAGAATACTTGCGGAATGAACAGTTCATCTGTGAGGTCGGTAGCCTTATATGGTATACCGATAGGTCAAAATTGGACCTGAACGTAATTTTTGGAATTTATAGGGAACGCCCCAAATTCAAACTTAGTATTAATTTGGGTAGATTCACCTCTATCTTCCAGGCAGAAAGGAGATGTATGAATTGGGTGCTTGACATCGTTCGTAATAGTTATACAAAAATATGAAGGTAGAAAGAAAAGTATAAAGTATGAAGGTAGTTTAGTAAAACAATAAATTATAAGTATAAATAAATGGTTTTTATTTCTGTAATGATTGGGACAGTCATAAAAAATTTTTTTTTAAAACTGAAATATAAAGCTACTAATGATTTTGCTTTAGCAAAAACGAAACGTTTTTAAATGTCTTTCTGTATTTTGTCTATGGCAGTAGATAATAAAGGCTATTTTTATAATAAAATAGCCTTTCTTACCAAAAAAGTTCATTATATTGAAACATTGACATGAATCTGAACTAATTAATATTGACTAAAATAAAATATTTAGAAAACGACTAAGTAGGCTATGTTACGAGTATGAAACTAAGAAAACATAAAAAATACACGACTGAATAGGCTGTATGGTCATTGATCATTGCATATTCCGAAGGAGACTTAAACGTCTTATACACGGTCTATCTTCACGTTTGTACGAAGTACATGTATTTCCATGATCTTGACGTACGTCTCACCAAGTTCATGCACGATGCACGATGGAAAACGACAGTGAGTAGGCTTGACGTACAGGAATTACGTACGTTAAGCGACGTACGTCAAGCCAATTCATTGTCTAAATTCATTGAATAAGATTTTTAACCGTAGCTATAGAAAATAATCTTGAAAGTTAAAAAAATTTCGATGTTTTGAAGACTATGAAATGGACTTTGTAATTTTGTTATTATAGACAAACAAATAAAATTGCAAACCCTTCTGCCAAGTGTACTTACTATGGTAAATATCGTATGAGGCAATCTATGGAGGCCTCCTAGATTGCCTCATATGTTCAGCAGTAGACTTTAGATAGGCTGTAACGAAGGCAAATATTTGTTTACACAATCTTACAACAATTGTTTCAATTTTAATTTTTGTTTTTACATGAATAGTCCTGAACTGAAAAATGACCAAATTTAATATTGACCAAATCAAGTCTAGAACATTGTGACAAGAATAGAAATCTGAGGTCTAAAGTGAGGAAAAGGGGCGATCATAAGTTTCAAATGGCAGTTATTATGTTCTAATCTATCTTAAAAATATGTTACAATTAGGGAATTGCAATTTCTATTTCAAATAAAAACTAAAAAAAGGACTTCAGAAGTGACCCTGAAGTCTGTCCTTCAATCGTCTTAAGTTGAGACTTAAATCTTCAAAAGAGACTGGTAATGCTGGATGCCCTCGCCGACTTATTGTTCATTAAATCATATGCATACCGTATGAGACCTCTAATGACCTATGCAGTGATTAAGAGACTGTATTTGTGCTATACCACTGTGAGGGTGATTTACATCTTTTATGAAATAGATTTTTATTTCTTTTTAACTTATTTATTTAAATTTTTCCTTATATTTTATTTTAATTTAGACAAAAACAGCTTAAAAGGTGTAAAACGTTTGGTAATGCAATCGCCTATACACTTTTAAAGTTGGTCAATACAGCAAACCCTGCCTAAATTGGTAAAGGTTTTAGTTAATAAGGAATAAGACCACCATTCATTTTTAGAGGTACTAGAGTCTACCGTGAGAGAAAAAGGCTGAAAATAAATAATAGCAAAAATTTTTTTGCTTATCATTGCCGTGTAAGATAAGGAATAGCAAAAGTAACTTTGATTTTCATTTAAAATATTTCAGTAAAGTTTTGTTTAATGTCCTAAACTGACCTACTATGCCATCCTCATTTGGTAGTCTTTTACCGATGTGCCCGTTGAAATCCCCCATCAAATCGACTGTTTTGTGGGCACTTTCAAGCATTTTCTCCAGGGCCTCATAGAATGAGTTCTTTATGTCCTTTGGTGTCACTTCATTAGGTGAATCTATTTGGTTTATTGATGTAGTTTCATATTCCGGCACGTTGATATTGAGTTGTGCAATTCATTCGGAGATTCCAGTGAAGGACTATACGCATTTTTTCGCCCATTCTCCTCACTTCACTTAGGCCGATGATGTCCCAGTTTATAAAATCTAAGGCATATTCAATTACCTGTAGGGATTCATCTGTCCTTAAGGTTCGAGTGTTGAGTGTTCATATGTAAATGCTGTTTCTTTTGTTTTTGTAGATCCTGTTTCTGTAGTGTGAGAGTAAGTGGATGCTATAGCTCATATATATCTACATCTGTTATCGACTAAGAATCAGACTGCTGATGCGTTGCTGTTGTAACCCCTGAGGACTAATAAGGAGGATCTACTTACTCAACTCATAATACCTCGTTATCAGTGAAAAGGGCCTCTCCGGTTCTTTACACTACAAAAAACAATAGCATTATGCTGCTATTTGACGTTGGTATTCTGTTAGAGCATGATCCCTACCCATTCGTGCTGCAGCTATGTGTAGCTAGCAATTATCTCCACAAATAAGTTTACTGACTAGATTATAAATAATTGGGTGCCTTTGAGTGTTATTTATATTGTTTTTTTTTAAACTAAAATGTCTAATGTACTTACAGTCGTATAGTGCATGGACACCTGCAGTCAACTTCAAACAAAGAAGTAACTACAGATAGAGTGTTGCCTCTGTGGAGTAAGATGGAATGTCGTACAGTTTTTTATCATACGGGCACTCTACATACCCTTCAGACCAGATCAGAGCGGTGTAAGTACTGCTGCTTGGTGGCAGAAATAGAGAAAAGGAAGATGTGAACCTTGGTCCTTCAGAGCCTGCCATATGATGAAACTAAAAGTCGCAGTGAAATGTAGTGAGGGCGCTGCTTGCAAGAGAGGGCTTTAGCTCTGCGTAATAGAATTTATAATGAATAATTCCGCAGTAGAATCAGCGTAATGATGAAGATGACATATAGTGAAATCTCTCCGAAATCGGGATCTACGTAGGTAAAACCACAAGACGCTACTATTACAGATTACCGTTAAGTTTAATACTTAAACACTAATATTTTTTTTAAAGAATAAGGGTGACAAACGAGCACGAAAATGAAAATGCAGATGCGTTGTCACCCGTGAGGACTAAAATGGAATGCCTCTTTTCCAGTAAAATGGGTCTCCGGTGAATTTGTAACTTGTTTTCTTAATGTTTCAGATTCTTTTCTGTTTATTTTTTGTAGATATACATTCTTTAGACAAATAATCTAACTAGTAGTAAAGTTATATAAAAAAAAAATTTTTTACAAAAGCTAAAATAATACCAATCCTATAATGAGCACGTTTGTCTTCTAGAGATTAAATGACTGATGAATTTATTATTATGTTATTGTATTATATGAATTATACATAAAATGTGAGAATAAGATAACAATAACAATATCAATTTTTTTTCTATTATAATTAAATATATGATTTCCAAACTTTTTACAAGTCATTATACGAATCTTAATCGTCAGTAACTATATAAGCACTAGATGATTCCTTACCTTAAGTCATAACTGGTTAAGAACTTACTTATCTAAGTCGAGCAAAATGCTATTTGTTACATTATTTATATTGATAACAGTGCTTTTCAGTATAAAATATTTCAAATATTCTTATAATCGAAAGCTTATTTGTAAAATACCAGGCCCAACATCGTTACCTTTCATAGGGAATGCACGACATTTCCAGCTGCCGCTTGGTATGATATTTTATTGTAATTATATTCATATTAGAGCAATAGATCAGAAAAATCTTAATTTGAATAGCTAACCTGTTATGGCAGAAATAAAACAGAAACTTATTTTCAGAGGATTTATTCATTTACTTAAGAAAACTGTACAAGATTCATGGAGGGATTTACCAAATACACGCCCCTAATATGCGAGCTGTTAATATATTTGACCCCGCGGACGTAGAGGTAAAGTCATCATTAATAACTTATTATATAGTTCATTGCTACACAATAGTAACACGATAACACTTTAATTAGTTTATTTAATAATTAAAAAAATAACTTAATTAATTTAAATAGTGCTTAAATATAAATAAAAAACAACGTACATACCCTAACAATGTTTTATTGTTGTAATTTCGGCGCATCTTTATACATTTATGTCTCTGACAATTACGTTGCATACGAAAAAGATATTGCTTGGTTTTTCTTTTTTTTTCTTTCTTTTCTTTATTTAACAGCGCGTAAAATTCATCAACTGGGCGTGGGAGGGCCATTACATAGTAGGACTAAAACGGAATGTCTCGTTTCCAGTAAAAAGGGTCTCAGGTTCCTTGCATTCACCATACAAATCCTCCTTCAGCCTCTTATGACACCTACTGTACGATAAGGGGATAAGAACGTTCCTACGCTACTATTACGCGGCAATTTTCGTTACTAATTACATAAAAGCAATAAGCGTAACTTAACTTTTATAATTGCCGAGGCACATCATGAGTTTTAATCAGAAATGAAGCTATTGTATTCAACACAACAAAAAATGTAATATAGCCGTTAAAATAATTGTAGTATTGTCGCGTTAATTTTTGTTAATAACACTTTAATAGACGTATACCATCCTGCATGTCTTACCAGGTCGTTACTCCATCTAGTGGTGAGTCACCCTAAACTTCGCTAATTCGCCTTTATACAGCAGTGGACTTGTGAAGGGCTGTAATGATGGTGATGATGATGATAGCGTCCTAATCGCATAGATTATCTAAGCGGATAGGCTCCTCACCAAAATGGTTAACAAGGCGACAAATGGTTTAAAGATTTTCCTAAAAAATATAGTAACTGGAAGCGATATAATAACCCAGTTGATTATGCTAACTTTGATGATCTCAGAAAGAAACAAAAAATACTACAGGCTCATTGTTATAACTCCTTTCTTACCCTTAGTCAAGAAAGTATTAAAAGAAATCCTAATTTTTCTGGACTTACGTAAAACCTAAAAGAAAAACAAAATTAATTTCCCACAACAAATGACGTATGGCAAAACAGTCTTGAATAGCTAAGAGGATATTTGTTCTGCATTTAACAATTATTTTCATAAAAACTTTAGTATGCCTCCTGATAAATATTCTTTTAACTCGGCCATTAGTAAATCTCACGATAATATAATTCATTCTATTGCTATAGATAAAGATGAAATAATTAAGCTTTTCCATGTTATTGACGTCACAAAAGATGCTTGTTATGATGGCAACCCAACAATATTCTTTGCTAAGTGTGTGGAATCGTTAGCTACTCCAGTAACCTTGATTTTTAATAGATGTGTAGAAGATGGATATTTTCCTAAAATTTGGAAAAGAGCTCATATAGTGGGACATACATAAAAATGGTTCCCTAACATCTATTGAAAATTACCGCCCCATTTCAATTCTTAACGTATTAAGCAAGATGTTTGATGTTTGATTTATCCTTCTCTATCTTCGTTAATATCAACTGAATAACATGGGTTCATGGTAGATGTGGTTTACAGAGACTTCGAGAAAGCTTTCGACCGTGTGGACCACATTACACTACTGTATAAACTCTATGAACTAGGGATCCGTGGTATTCTATTCAGATGGATGGAGTCATACTTACGTAATCGTTCTCAGACAGTCGTTATTGGTGGGTTATCACTTCCGTCCTGATGTCGAACGTGATTACACACATTTTGCGTTGTAAAAATAAATTTCCGAAATATTAATTAGCGATATATTACTACGAGTACCAGGCGCTTATAAACGATAAAGTGATGTGCAAGTGTGGGAGCAGTAGTGCAGTGTTAATTGCGGCCTGTTGAATGAGTGAGATAGAATATCAGAGTAAGACCGGTCATTGTGCAACATAACATCGACATAACAACATGTGTGCTACCCAGATGTGTACCAAAATCTTCTTAATAAGCTAGAGCGTCTTCTCAATAGCTGTATTAGATATATATTTGGTCTTCGAAAATATGATCATATCTCTCATTATCGTGAACGCCTGAAATGGCTCACTATACAACATAGACGAAACTCTAGAATTTTGCTTGTTCTTTTCTCAATTTTGAATAATCCAACTTCTCCAACATATCTGAAGGACAAATTCCAATATCTCTTTTCAACTCATGATAAGGTTCTTCGCTCCTCATCTAATCATAAGATCAGTATTCCATCTCATTTCACTGGATTCACCAACAATTCCATTACTATTCAGGCAACACTACTCTGGAACTCCTTGCCCGAAAACATAAGAAGAGCGCCAAGTAAGGATTGTTTTAAAAAGTTGGTACACGACTTTTTTTTGAATCAAAGTGATGTCGGATGTTAAGAATGATGATGATATATTTTGAGACATTTAGATGTTTTATTTTTGCATTGCAAAACTAGGCACAAGAGAGAACGGTGAGCTGAAAGTAGGGAAATTTGGATTAGGGCAACGGAACCCAAGGGGCCAGCAGTTGGCTGACTTTATGGAGAAAGAGGGACTCTTTATGATGAACTCTTTCTTCCAGAAGCGGCCCCACAGAAAGTGGACCTGGTCGAGCCCCGACGGTTCGACAAAAAATGAGATTGACTTCATTATGACGACCAGACGACAACTGTTCAGTGATGTCTCAGTGATCGCGAGGGTGAAAACCGGCAGCGATCACCGAATGGTTAGAGGCACACTGAACCTAAACGTTAAGTTGGAGAGGTCTCGTCTAATGAAGTCAACGCTCCGTCCCCCTCGTGCTCTAATCCAAAGTCCCGAAACCTTTCAGCTCGAGTTACAAAACCGTTTTCAGTGCCTAGAAGACTGCAATGAAGTGGACGATTTGAATGACAAGCTCGTGGAAACTGTCCATGCAGTCGGAGCTAAGTTCTGCAAGACCCGCCGCAGAAGAACACATACACACACATAACACATGAGATTGAGAGGTTCTATGGGCAGCTGTACACGTCATCGTTGGAGCCGCACGCAAGTGTGAGTAACGATCCAAGAGCGAGTCTTATCCGACATTATTCCGTTGATATCCCGGACGTCAGTCTGAGCGAGATTAGAATGGCTCTCCAGCACCTTAAAAACGGCAAAGCCCCAGGCGAGGATGGAATTACAGCGGAGCTTCTAAAAGCGGGTGGAAAACCGGTACTTGAAGTCCTTCAGAAGCTCTTTAATTCCGTCCTCCATGGTGGCATTACACCGGAGGTGTGGAGCAGAAGTGCGGTGGTCTTGTTCTTCAAAAAAGGCGACAACGCTCTCTTGAAGAACTACAGACCGATATCCCTTCTGAGCCGCGTTTACGTACTGTTTTCGAGAGTCATTACGAATCGTCTCGCGCGCAGACTTGACGACTTCCAGCCTCCCGAACAAGCCGGTTTCCGAAAAGGCTTTAGTACCATGGACCACATACATACCCTTCGGCAAATTGTACAGAAGTCCGAGGAGTACAATTTGCCACTATGTCTGGCGTATGTGGACTATGAGAAAGCCTTTGATTCCGTCGAAATTTGGGCGGTGCTGCAGTCCCTTCAGCGATGCCAAGTTGACTGTCGGTATATCGAAGTGTTGAAGTGCTTGTACAGTAGGGCTACGATGGCTATCCGAGTACAGAACCAGAGTACGAAACCTATCCAATTGCAGAGAGGTGTAAGACAGGGTGACGTCATATCCCCGAAACTCTTTACCGCTGCATTGGAAGATGTTTTCAAGCTTCTGGACTGGAAAGGATACGGTATAAACATCAATGGCGAGTACATCACTCACCTTCGATTTGCCGACGATATAGTCCTTATGGCAGAATCGCTGGAGGACCTAAGCACTATGCTCAATGACCTCAATAGTGTTTCCCAACGGATAGGTCTTAAGATGAACATGGACAAAACAAAGATCATGTTTAATGTCCATGTCACACCTATGCCGGTAGTTGTTGGGAACACTAAGCTCGAAGTTGTTGACGAGTATGTTTACCTGGGACAAATAGTCCGACTAGGTAAGTCCAACTTCGACCGAGAGGTCAATCGACGGATTCAACTCGGCTGGGCAGCGTTCGGGAAGCTACGACACATCTTCTCGTCAGGTATACCTCAAAACTTGAAAACGAGACTGTACACCCAGTGCGTGTTGCCAGTGGTGACATACGGAACTGAGACGTGGTCCTTCACTGCTGGCCGGATGAGGAAGCTCAAGGTCGCTCAGCGAGCTATGGAGAGGGCTATGCTCGGAGTTTCCCTGCGTGATAAACTCAGAAATGAGGATATCCGCAGTAGAACTAGAGTGACCGACATAGCCCAACGGATTAGTAAGCTGAAGTGGCAATGGGCCGGCCATATAGCTCGAAGAACCGACAACCGATGGGGAAGAAAGGTTCTCGAGTGGCAGCCTCTTACCGGCAGGCGAAGTGTAGGGCGTCCCCCCACTAGATGGAGTGACGACCTGGTAAGATATGCAGGAAGTCGATGGATGCAGGTGGCTCAGGACCGTGCTTTGTGGCATTCTTTGGGGGAGGCCTATGTTCAGCAGTGGACTTGTGAAGGGCTGTAATGATGATGATGATGAAGATGTTTTATTATTTGTAATTTTAATATATATATTTTATTATAATATGTAACGTATATATTATATCTGTGTATGATACATATTTTGTTCATATATTTACATATGCAAAGTTTTTGTATATTATATCTATATCTTAGTATATATATATATATATATATATATGTGTGTGTGTGTGTGTGTGTGTGTGTGTGTGTATTTGCACTTGCCACAAAATCTCATCACTCCACGGGTTGACTGGCAGAGAATGCGGCTAGGCATTAAGTCCGCCCTTTGTTACCCTTGTTATTAAGGTGTCAACAAAAAAGATAAATAAATAAACCTCGAAAACTGCATCACTTAAACGTTGTATCAGAAACCGAGACACTATACACTCTAAATGTAAAGCAGAGCCCAAAAATGAGATTATGCAAACAAATATAAAAAGTACAAAAATTTTTGCAACGATCTGCTTAAGAGATTAAAAAGAATTATCTATCCTGTTCATAAATCTGAACCAAGAATTACCGCCCAACCTCGGTATTGCCAGCCCTATCAAAAGTTATAGAAAAGGTAATAAATAAAAGATTGATATGTTTTTGAAAAAGAATGCTCTTCTATCAAGCAATCAATATGGTTTCAGAGCTGGCAAGGGTACTTCTGATGCAGTTACTGGGTTAACGAATTATATTGCTCGGCAAATTGATAAGAAAAACAAATGTATAGGTGTATTCTTAGATATTGCGAAATCATTTGATACGGTCTCTACTCCTATACTTCTAGACAAAATGCATAAAATTGGTATACGCGGAAACCATTAAGCCTGTTTGAAAGTTATATTTCTCACAGAAGGCAAAGGGTAAAGGTCGGAGACCTGACTAGTCTAGATTCTTCCATCACTTATGGGGTGCCACAAGGCAGCGTCCTCGGCCCTAGTCTCTTCTTAATATATATACATGAATTATGTAATATTAATTTCAATAATTGTAAGATCTTTACATTTGCCGATGATACAGTGCTAGTTTTTTATGGTAAAACTTGGGAGGAAACTAGAATCAAGGCAGAAATAGGATTGCAACAGGCAACACAATGGCTTCAGAAAAACATACTGACACTAAACACGTCAAAAACTAAGTTCATTACTTTTGGTATAGCACAAAATAACATTCCTAGTAAAATACACATTCAAGCCCATACTTGCAATAAACTTCATCCACATATAACACCATGTCAGTGTATATTATTAGAACGTACAACCACAATAAAGTACCTTGGTGTAATTTTGAATCAAACCTTAAAGTGGATACCACAAATGAAAATGATATTAGAAAAAATTCGTAAACTGATTTATATTTTAAAAACGTTGCGACATATTGCTGACATTGAACTTCTAAAATCAGTTTACCATGCCATGGCCCAATCCGTAATATCATATAGCATAAGAGCAGGGAGGTGCTAAAGAATCTCATATAATAAGAGTTGAAAGGGCCCAACGCGCGTTACTTAAGGTTATCACTTTTATACCCTACCGATTTCCTACTGTTGAATTATATGCTAGTAAGACAAATGTACGTAGTTGATACGATCTCATCCCAACATAAGAAAGTCTCTTATGACCCAAAGCAACCCCAAACGCGAAGAAAGGACAGAGTGTGTCCTAATATTTTCTTTAGGACTTACTTTATTAAAAAGTTTCAATGTTTTATTGGTCCTTTTCTATATAATAAAATTAACCGAATGATTAATATACATCCGCTTAAAAACTACAAATGCAAAATAAAAGTTGACATTTTGGATTAAATCACAAATGATGACATTGAAGATCTATTTACAATAATAAAATGAGCTGAGTTCTAAAATTTAAACTAAAATCAAAATAAAACACTTTTCAATAATTAAAAGCACCTTATTAGCACGATATCAAAAAGTAGTAATTTGTAAAGCATTTAAGTGTATATCCTATGTTAATTTACTTTAAGGAAGAAACTAGCATTTAAGACACAGGCTTGGCCTAGTTTAAATGCTAGCAATTCTTATCTTTCTTCAAATTTAATTAAATAAAATTTCAATTATCTGTATAATTAAATACACAACATAAATTACATTCTAAGTAATGTTCACAGTTTTAGTGGTGAAACTTGTTCTTTTGTTCGAATAAAACATCTTATGCATCCAAGTAACTATTGATTAATATAGTTAGTAATTATTGTTAATTATTTAAGTATTGTATAATAAGTTGGTTCATAAAGTTCCGTTATCTACGTACACTTGTTTTTGCATTTCGAATCTTCGAAATTACATTCTTACTATTGTACTTCTCAACTCTTACCCTTCTACTTTAAACCCCGTTGCTGGTCTTAACTTCTCCAATTGCAGTAGTCTTCACTCACTATAACGCTGCTCCCTTTGCCGTTCTTAGTTAAAGTCTGACGTAAATGAAATAGTCTTACTCTTACTTACGAAACGAAATGAAGTGACAGATTTTTTACGGCGTTGTCACAGTACTTCGTTTTCATCTTCAGCCCGTTAAAGTACACAGCTGGAATTGGGCCTCTTACGTTTGTAAGGAGGATTTGTAGACGATTTCAGCACTAGCGATCTCATACCTTTGGCAATGCCCGACGGATATTTTGCGCCTGGCGTAAACGTGATAGTTATACCACCATTTATCCTAAAGATGGTAGTGTAAGACTATACCATGACCATGAAATGTATGAATCAGAGGACTTAATAAGGCTGCTGCTGCGGATAGATCTATTAATACCTATGACAATTATAAACCATATAAATAAGCAATTAATTAGTATTGAAAAGAATTCCTTACGTTTTTCTTATTATAATTAAATAAAATTAAAAATGCTTGTCTGTTTTAGGTAATATTATCTTCGCATCGTTTTAACGATAAAGATCTCCCTTATAAATTTATGCAACCCTGGATTGGTGACGGACTTCTAGTTAGTAAAGGTCAGTAACATGACTCTCAGTTCAGGTCGATCTAGTTTCTGTAATTTTTAACCGAATTAAAATAATATAATATTAGAAAAAAAAATGGTTAGATATTGTTACAGTGAACTACGAGATATTTGTATACCATTTGATTTATTTTACAGTTTGTATCTTCTTTTAACGCTACAGTCAAAATCTAAAGTCAATTTTTGGACATAGGCATACTCCATTAATATGGAATATATTCACTGTCATAGTTGGCACGCTTGGCAGGCAGGTTGGCAACCGCAGTTTTTTATTGTTATTAGGAAGACGCTGCTGCATATCCTGGTTTGTTTCCTTCTGTAACCTCTTAAGACATTCGCAGACGACATGGGAATTGGATATTCTTACACCACCCGCGACACGGTAGTTATTTCATTTTAAAATAATCCTTTTTTCGACCTTTATTAAGTAGAGGTTGTTTAACAATACAATGTTAAAAATGATTTGCAAAAACAAGATAAATTTGTTCACAGAATGATTAAAATAAAAAAAAAATTATAAAGATATTGAATGCTAACTTAAAATGACTTAATAAAAAGTTTAATACGATGTTAAAAATGATTTGCAAAAACAAGATAAGTTTGTTCACAGGGTGATTAAAATGAAAAAAAAAAATCTTATAAAGATATTGAACGCTTACTTAAAATTACTTAATAAAAAGATTAAAATCTTCGTAAACATTGCCTTTCCGATAATATCGCTACCTAGTGAAGATGGAACTTCAGTTTAGTAAAACTCGTCATAATTTTAAAAAAATATCCCATTAGGCAATCTAAGGGAGAGGGGAATTTCGATTGTCTGTAAGGACGACGATCGTATTATCGTTAGATGTTTGGGACCAATGAATAGGTATAGATAGGGTAATTAATTAATTATTTTCTTTTATTATACGTGCAAATATGCGAGTAGATATTCATTAATTTAATTAAAATTCTGGATTACGTTCACTAACTAAGCATATCTTTTGATTTTTTTTGCTTAGGTAAATAATGTATTGTTTAACCTACTAAAGTTTTTTCACTGACTGGGGTTAACACTCCATGAGTTGATGTTGAGTAGTTGACAATGAAATTTAAGGCGAGTAGCGCTGAGCTACCATAGCTAATTTTATATAATCGGGCTGGTTTTACAATGGAGTCTCGGAAATAAACTCGGAAACGTGGACGTGGACGTGGCACTTGAGCCCTCAATTGATTTTTTGTTTCAAAAATAAAGTAAATCCACTACAATATATGTAAATTAATATATTATTTTATGTTTAGGTGTTGTTGTAGTTTTTATCTTGATATGTGATATTCAATATTTTTTTTACGAATTTAGGCATTTTTTATATGAAAGGTCGTCGTAAAGGGCAGTACAACGTCTGCCTGGCCAGCTAGTATATATATATATATTTTAACCTTTATTTTCTGCCTAGGCAATAAATGGCATCAACGAAGGAAAATGTTGACACGTGCATTCCATTTCAATATTTTGAAGAAATACTCTCTTACGATGATTGAACAAGCAGAAGAGCTATTGATGAAAATCCAGACTGAAGTTGGCGGCAACCAAACTGATGTAGTACCCTTGATTTCAAAAACTGCGCTTAACGTAGTGTGTGGTATGTATAACAATTTTAACGAATACAAAACAACTTTAGGAATTGAAACTATATTAGCAGTTTGGTGGAATGGTGGTTCGATGGCAGCAAGTAGAATAGCATAGAATATTTTTTATTAATTAACGGTTATTGAGAGAATTTTTTTACTTTTACCAATGGTTGGAAAAAAAATCTCTATACTGGGAAGAAAACCAGCGAGAAACCCAGCAGGGCTTTTCCTAACATAAATTATACAATAAGAAAGGTTTGTACAAACTATTTACAAAATTTATTTTAGAATGAATTTGAAGGCGACCACCTGATTCCCAAGGATTATCACCATCCATGTATTCATTTATATTATAATAAATGCTTTTATGCAGTGTTTGATTAAATATTTGAACTTGGTAATAGAGAGACCTTGTATATTTTAATGTATTGCTAACTCTGTGTGGCTAAGAATGTGGTATCACTAGCTAGTGTTTGTTCCAAGTGTTTATAGAGTGTATGTCACTTGTTTCACTAAAACTCATTTTTTTTCGTAAATATATACTGAGAGACCAAAGTTAATATATTTATTTATTTCAATTTTCCTCTGAGGGACTCTCTCGGTTTTAGGTTGTAAATAGTTCTTATAGCTCTCCTCTGTAAAACAAAAATAGCTTCTAAATCAGCCGCATTTCTCCAAAGCAAAATCTCATAAGACATTTTATGAAAAGAACAGAAATAAACGAATCTAGCTGTCTCGACACTAGTGAGAACTCTAATCCTTTTTACAACATAAGGTGCGGAGCTGAGTCTGCTTGCTAGTTTATATATATGGGGTCCCCACTAGAGCTTTGCGTCGAGAGTGATGCCACGAAAAACAGTGGATTCAAAAGAGCTCAGTTCATCCCCATTTAAAACACATTGGTATTCAGATTTTTAAGATACAATGTTGTAAATTTTATATATTTAGTTTTTTAATTAGATTATTAACATTAAACTAATGTACTAATTTTATTAGTTAATGCATAATTAACTTCGTTTCGTCACATTTAAATGATTGAATTTAATCATCTCATTTCACCTCATTTCAAGAAATATCCTATTATAAGGGGTTTGTTACGGGTTAACCCCTTAGAGTCTGAGTTTTTGAAAATATTATTAAGAGATTTTTTTATTTATATATGGACTAAATATAAATAACCCCACAAACACATTGTAGATATAAATATAAAACTCCCAGTTTTAGATCATCCACTGTTGCCATATGGCTACGCTAGGTCAAAATAGTATAAAATGTCGTGATTTTGTCGTATTTTACAAAAGTAAGTTCAATAAAATTATTATTATGGGACCAAAAATAATAATATTAAGTAAGATTTCTAAATAAACTTTTTTATTTCTATTATGTATTAACATAAATCACAGAGATGAGAAGTTGAGAACAGTAATAAAAAAAACTATGACATGACAAAAACATTTTCCGGGAGGCATAAATACAAAAAAACACACCAAGCAGCAAGGATTTTTTTTTTAGGGCAGGCAAAGGTAACATGACTTATGTTGTATACAGTATGCATTATAAAATTTATCACTTAACACTCCCACTTAAATTTTAGAATGATTACAATACTATACTTAAATTAAGCTTCAAACCAGCTTACTTACTGTCTACCAACAAAACTAACCTTTAAACCTACTAAGTATTTAATATTATACCTAAAAACCTCAGTTTATATTCAGTACTTGATCTCTGTTAAGAATAAATTTACCAGAAGGTAAAGCTTTTGTTAAAAAATCTGCAAGTTGATTTGAACTTTTCACATATTGAACATTTATTACATTTTGTTCTACCTTTTCTCTGATGAAATTATATCTTATGTCTATGTGCTTTGTTCTTTTGTGGTAAATAGGATTATGAATGAGTTTAATAGCACTCTGATTATCTATACATAGGGTTATCACCAATTGTGGTTCATCAATATCAATTAATAACTGCCGAAGCCATAAAATTTCTTTGGCAGCCTCACTTGCAGCCATATACTCTGATTCTGTAGTTGATAATGCCACAGTATTTTGCTTCCTGCTAGCCCAAGAAACAGGTCCACCATTCATCATAAAAATATATCCTGTATTAGATTTTCTAGAATCAATATCTGAGGCAAAATCAGAATCAGAAAAACCTACTAGTTCTTTGTTACAATTATAAGTAATACAAACATCTTTTGTCTTTAACAAGTACCGAATAATTCGTTTAACAGCATTTACATGGTCTTTACTGGGATTATTTAAATATCTACTAACTACATTCAAAGAATAAGAAATGTCAGGCCTAGATACGGTTGACAAAAACATCAGGGCTCCTACTGCTTCCCTATATGGAAAATTAATGTTACTCTCACTATCGTTTTTCTTTAAAATTACATTATTGTCAGCAGGGGTACTACAAGGATTGGCATCTGACATGTTGAATCTATTTATAATTTGTTTTATGTACTGTTTTTGACTTAAAGTAATTATTCCATCATTTTTAGTTATTTCCATGCCAACAAACATATTTAAATTAAATTCTTTTATCTTAAAACTTTGTTTTAAATCATTTATAATATGCAACAATATACTTTTACTTTTTGACAATAATAAAGCATCATCTACATACAAGATCAAGATAACTTTATAATTATTAAAATGACCCACAAATATACAGTTGTCAGAGGGACACATTTCAAAACCATAAGTAGTTAGGAAAGAAGAGAATTTTCTATTCCAACAGCGTGATGACTGTTTTAGCCCATATATTGATTTTATTAACTTACAGATTTTCCTTGGCTCAGCATGGACACCTTCAGGCACCTCCATATAGACATACTCTGATAACTCACCGTACAAAAATGCTGTTTTGATATCAAATTGTTGTAGTTCATAATTCTCTCGAGCTGCAAGAGATAATATTATTCTTATGGAATCGAATCTTGTTGTTGGTGAAAATGTTTCCTTGTAATCGACGTTCTTAGTTTGTGTAAACCCACGTGCACAAAGACGAGCTTTGTATCTTTCTATATCACCATCTGAATTTCTTTTTACACAAAATACCCATTTTGAGGTCACTGTTTTCTCATTATTTCTGTTTACTAACTTCCAGGTTTTATTTTCTTTTAATGACTCTAATTCTTCACATATAGCTTCCTTCCATTTATTACTATTTTTACAGTTTATAGCTTCTTCATATGTCGTAGGTACATCTAACTCAATAAAATTTGCTTCTTCATTTCTTTTCCTTCTAGGTCTCAGTGTAATATTTCTTTCATCATCTTCAGAAATTATTTGTGGAGGCTGGTACGTCACATCATTGGGATCTTCTTGTGTTTCTACACTTTCAAAACTAGATTCAGAAATATTTTGGTTGTCTCCTGGAGAAACTGGTATATGTTGTATGCCTTCTCTTTGCTCTTGTTCATCGGTGATAGAAATTGAAGTTGTGTGTTTCCTCAGTACTGGTATGTTGTTCTCATTGAAGTGTACATTTCTACTTATTGTTATCTTCCCACTTTCAATATCAAACATTCTATAATTTTCATTTTCATATCCTACTAATATTAATCTTACACTCTTTTTATCTAGTTTTCTTCTTCTTTCATCAGGTATATGGACATATCCTTCTGAACCAAATACTCTTATATGTTGAAGGGCTGGCTTCTGTTCATTCCACAGCTCATATGGGGATACATCCTTTGTCTGGGTAGAAGAACTTCGATTTAATAAATAAACAGCACAGTTTACTGCTTCAGCCCAGAGATCCAATGAGATATCACGAGAGTACAACATAGATCTTGCACTCTCCATTATTGTCCGCATTTCTCTCTCCACTCTACCGTTTTGTTCAGGCGTGTAGGGTGCTGTGCGTTCATGAACTATTCCTTCACTATTCAAATAAGATTTAAGTTCATTGTTAACGTACTCACGTCCATTGTCTGTATGCAATATACGAGTGCCATGACCAAACTTATTTTTCACTATTGCATTGTATTTCTTAAAGCAATCCAGGACATCACTTTTGTGCTTGATAATAAACACATGTCTATAGCTGGTGGCACCATCTTTAAATAAAACAAAATATCTTGCTCCAGATACAGATGTATGTTCTACAGGTCCACACACATCACTGTAGGTTAAATCACCAGGTTCACATTCTCCTCTACAAGATTTATGAAATGGCAAGCGGCTCCGTTTGCCATATTGACAAGCCTCACACACAAAGTTGATGTCATCCGTTAACTTTACTGGAATTGCACCATTCTTGCTCATGTTTTTCACTTCCTTCAAGTTTAAATGTCCCAAACGTTCATGCCAGATTTTCAAACTTGACTGTGCTAAATTACAATCTATTTGCACTGTTGTTTTAATATTTACTTCATATAGATTATTCTGCTTCAATGTTGCAGTCATAACAACAGTATTATCTTTTAATATTAAGGCCTCATTGTACTTCTTAATTATAACATAGCCTTTTCTTGTTGGCATGCCTTCTGAGAACAAATTTCTGCGTAGCTCTGGTACATAAAGTACATCTTCTAGAATACTTTTCTCCCACTTTCCATTCACACATCTATTAATTAATATATTTCCACAACCTTGCACCACTAGTTCCTTCTTATTTCCCAATCTCACAGTTGTACCACCACTATTCTTGCCATAATCCATTAACTCACTGAAATAATCGCGCCTGTATGACATGTGTGCAGATGCACCACTGTCAAGAATCCATGTATCTATATCTGCTTCAGACTGTAAACATTGCTCGGCACTGAATGCAAGCATCTTTTGCTCTTGAGGTTTCCTCTCAGACTTCTTTGGGGCTCGACAATCTCTTGCAAAATGCCCTCTCTTGTTACAGTTATAACATATAAATCGATGCTGATTATTTTGACCAGACGTTGAAATTTTTTGCATATTGTGATTCTGAAATTTTCTTTGTGGCTTAGAATGTTTCATGGCTACTAAAGCACTCTCAGATTCCTCCTCATTTGTCAAACTCG